ATATAGACCATGTTAATTTCCAGTTGACCTTCCGATTGGTATAACATTACTTGATATTACTAATAATAATGAATACTAATGAATCTTAAAGATAGAAAGATAAGAGATATATACCACTCAAATCTCTACTTCATGTTCCCATTGGTATAACATTACTTAAATGTGAGGATAATATTGCAATTGATGGATTTGTTAAACATTTTAAACCGTTATAGTAATATTTAATAATTTTATTACTATTTGAATAGTATAGTTAATTGAACTAAAAAATTTCGGATAGGTGAACCCTATACCAAGAAACTGAAGTTATGCTATCATACCCCAATATGCAATAGAAACCCAACACACCACACGAATGAGATACATCAGAAATGAAATGATATATATATGATTGGTGCTAATACAATTACAAAACAATTAAAATTAAACACTTAAAATGTGGGTTCAGGTCCACTAAATCAATATCAGAATAGATATTTCTTCTGAAACAATTTTACGAAAGGTGCTAAGAGCATGGATTAATTGACTTTCAATGAGTCCTTGTTAGTATAACTCACAGTATGATTCTAATTGCACTCCAAGATGTTGGATTTAAGTATTAAATCCAATTTAATTATTTAAATCATTTAATCATCAATTATCAATTCAATTAACAATTTATAATCGCTTTTTATAAACGAGGCTATAAGACACCAAAGAAGCATTACTATTCCAGAAATCTCTCTGTGCGGATTTTGCAAGATAAGATATTTTTATGTATAATACTTGAACATGAAAAACTGAAGACGCAAAATGACATGCCAAGGGGAGTACTCACTTTCTTAGCCTGTATACAGGCAAAGTTATAAATAACATTTCCATATATTACAACATTGATCTGCGGGTGCATTTAACTCGAGTAAACGGATGAGTCGTTGATGTGTTTAAAATTATTGAACCGTTGCTCCTATACCTTTTTGCTCTTCGGCTGGGTCAAGTGCTAATCAGATGGAGCAATATTTTGTCTTTCATTTAATATATATATTATGTTAACTTATTTCTCATCTTATGTTCCAATATAAAGTAGACAATGGGTTTGCTATAAAGCACCTTATAAAATGTAAATATTTCTTTATTCGATATATATCAGCAACTGGTACCGATCTATTCTCCAATAGGAGCGATAGTTAAACACACATCTGTGTATTTTTTATCATCAAGGAATAAACAAAAAAACATATAATCGTGCCACAACGCTAAAGTATACAAACTCAGAATAAAAGCAAAGAACTTACGTACCGATTTGAAAGATATAAATGAAATGATAAAAAAGTACATAAACTGAATAATTAGAAGAAGTAAGGTCTTTAAATTTAAATAATTAAATATAATTAATTAGTTAAAAAAAAACTTTTTAAATAAACAAGCCAATGGTTTAACACCAAAATAAATTTCAAACGTTCTTTAAACCATAAATTACAAAAAGTGTCCTACTATTATTATATATCAGCAATTTTTAAGGAAATCTTCTTACAAATTAGTCTTTACTTCATGAAAAATAGTGTAATATCAGGATATGTACACAACCCCATATGTAAGTAACCATGTAGAAGGCGTTAGGTGCAGTAACTTTTACAACACTTGTCAAATGCACAAATCATATTGTGTGGCTCTTGAGTTGCAGGAGCGAAGGAATCTTGTTGCATGTAAAGGACATAAAAAAGGATTTTTCAACTAAAATACAAGCAGTTAAATGAAATAGGGAAGATGAAGTGCTTTAGATAAAGTAGACATTGACAAATTTAGGAGATTATGTGGCTGACCAGTAGGAAAATTTTAACATACTTTTACAGTCAAAGAACATTGCTTCAAATAAGTAAAAGATAAAACATTTACAATCTGTTTTCTTAGGAAGAAGTCGATTTGAGTTTTCAGTAGTCGTTGGAAAATTAGAGGACAAGCTAGTTTTCAAATTTAATTAAATGCATTTTAAATGAAAATTTATTTTATATGTAAACACTAGATTAAAGAGATATATTGCAAGTTAATTATGTAGATAAGAGTTAAAGTTTAAAAAAAATATGTCCTCTGTTATACAGGGTCAACTATTTCTTGTGTCCATAAATAAATGCAAATAAACGTAAATAACCAAACCATATCACTGATTAAGATATCGATCAAGTTTTTATTTTAATCAAAAAGTACCAAGACGTACCAAGAGACGCTTTCACACAGATGTTGACACATTTTTCATTAGGTATACCTCTATATTTTCTTGCTATAGTAACAGCTACGCTGTGTAGAGTACATATCCTTCCATACGATGATTTGAAAGATAAAAGACAGTAGCTCTCTTTTACAACTTATCATACTTATTCCTGACATGCAACAAATATGTGATTGTCAATTTCGATTTTAACTAAAACTTTATAATTTTTTGTAAATGCTGTACGAATTGTACCAATAAATAAATAAAAAAAAAATTATACTTCCTCGTAAGTTTTTAACCAAAAATGCACAAATATCATTCAACAGCGACCAAATTCGTCTACAAATTCGTCTGTACTATCTTCCAGTTGGAACGACTCAAGTATCCACTAACATACTGAGAATGCGTTTTAGCAACTCTGATGGGTATATAATAGTCCAATTACAAAAATATTTTGCGGATTGGATCAAGTAATGGCATTAGTACGCTTCAATCTGTTGAGAGTACTTTGAAGGGAATAACATCGATTATCAAGTGTTGTGTTTTTAATTTTTTTAAGTATTTAATTGAAGTATTGGTCAATGTGGTATTTTTTCGGATCTTGCTGTTATATATATATAATGTCCCGATATACAGTTGTTTTCTACCATTCAAAAATAAATCCTTTTCAGGTAATTTTTGATGACTTGCACCACTTTACTTGCAATCGCTCGGTCATAAATTGACGAATGTTTATGTTCAAAGCGAAAGAAAAGTTTGATTGCCCTCATAAATATGATCCTTTGAGTGAATTTTTAAATAAAAGTCCACTGGTGTTAAATCGTATAATCTTAGTGGGCAATTGATATCATCGAAATGTGAATTCACAAATTTTAGAAAATTTTTAGTCTAACAAATTCAAAATAGGACGTATGGTGCGGCTTGTTGGATCAACTCGATGAAATCACATATCTTTTAAACTCGCATCTTCAATTTCATGCTACAAAAGTTGACTTGCATGTGGTCTCAGCAATTAAAATCAATGAATTGTGTCACATTGTCAACATTTTCGAAGACCAAGCCTGTCATTTTTCTAACCCAAATGCTGCACCATAGATTTACTTTGTACACCATGGTTTTTCGACCGTAATTTGTGGGTAACACACTCACTAAGCAGAAAATAAGTACATTATTAAATATAACTATATGTGAAAAAGAATTATCCAAACCGAGCACTGTATATATTCGACGCATATCATGATCGGTATTATATCATGGTCGGCTTTAGTTGTGTTAACTAAACGTTGTAACGATTTTGATAGAAAACTTAATGTTAAATGGGCTTTAATCCGCACTAACATAGATCCAATGGCATATCCTAGATTGTGTGAAGGTGGGATTTACTAGAACATAGTTTTTTGGCAGAGTTTTAGCATCGTATTGCCGGTGAATTATAGTATCAATAAGAGATTTATTCTCCAATTTCCTCCAGATATGCTACTGCGCCTTATGTAATACATAAATTTGGATCTCTTTTGGCACTTTCATAACACTACCGATATTCTTATTCATTTTCATTCATGTATTTCTAGGCTTTATAATTCTAAGATATCAATTGATATTTAGGCTTTAACACTTTTGGTACATTAAATTACTTCAAAACTCAATCATTTTCATTGTGTGTTTTTATTATTTATTGAAGTTAAAATATGGCAAATCGAAATAAATTATTGCTTAAAATAAAAGTTGCATTAAAGTCTCTGAAATAGTGCCGTCCAATAGCACTACGAAATGGATAACCTTTTGTGATTGAGAGACATTTATTTGCTTATCATACAAGTATATTATTTTATACGTTTATACGTATATATTTAATGCAACATATTCACTTCATTAAAAGTACCTATAAGACATCAACTTGTATGATTTGGTTGGTTTAAACTTAATAATGTATTTACTTTTATTTATTACAATTTAATTCAAAAGTATTTATACACATATGTGGAAAAAAGAAAGGAAATCAACAATTGCCAAAGTGCAAATCAAATTCTTTCCAAATCTTAACCACTTGCAGCAGAAACAACTACACAATAAACTATAAAAAATGAGATAGAAAAGTGATACATATCTCTTCCAAAACTTCAAACAGACAACCAACATTTTATAATACAACTATCAGTCTAAGTCTGTCTATCTGTCTGTCTTTTAGCCTTTTAGTTTATTTCTTTGTTAGTTGGACTGTTCGCTCCTCTGTTCATTTATTTGTACATTAGTTTTCCTGTCTGTCTGTCCGTTTGTCTGTCTGACTGTCTGTCTCTCTGTATGTCTTCTTCTTAAATATACAAACACTTTTTGTTTGTAAGAAATTTCAACAAAATTCATCGGATATGTGAGTTTGTTGATAAAATTAAACATGGACACATGCCAAGTCGATGGTATATTACAACAGGATATGCATGGTTGTAGTTTACGTTGGTAGTAGTCTTGTTGGTACTCGTCCACTGGAATTGCTGTTTTGGTTTGGTTAAATGTAAAAATAAAACTCTTACAGAAAAGTGCAAACAAAGCACGTTTTTCTATGTTTTAAATTTAATTCCAAAATGTATTTTGTTAAATTGTTTATAAATTTGGTTTCTTATGACTTGGAACCGAAACAAGGACGCAGTTGTTGAACTAAGCTATTTATAGCTCATACAAAACTAAATATTGTATTAAAATAAATTTTCCTTACACGGATATCAGTTTGTTTACATCTGACACAGATTTTTTCCAACAGATTTGGCACCACTTTTGATAGAACGTTTGCGTTGCTCACACTCAATAGAATGAAATTAAATCGGAAAAATATTCATTTTAATAAAATTTTTTTACTTTTTAAATTAATATATTATATATTAAATATATTAACTTCTCTAAAGCTTGTTGTATAAAAATATTAAAAATGGGAAACCTAAAAGTCCAAACTAAAATGTAATTTATGGTATGAGAGTATCGTTGTTACAAACTTATTTAATTCAATATCTGTTACCAAAAAATATTTGTTAAAGTAAATAAAAAATTTTACAAACAAAAAATATTTCAAACTAAACTTCAAATATTTTTACTGATCAAATTTAATAACGTGAACAATTTATTTAATTTTTTTTTCATATATAAATTTGACGAATATTAAATTGAAAAAACTTTATATAAAAAAATTATAAAATAAAAAACTCAACTAAAATGTAAAATAAAATGTTTCTACAATTAATTAAAGTTTATTTTTTATATAAAAAAAAGAGAATATTTTAATTCATATTTTTTGATATGAATTCACAAAAATTGATTCAAATTCTTTTGAATGCTTTTGACTGCACCCGAAATTTTTACAAATATCAAAATTTCAATTTTATATACAAAGTTTCATATTTTTCCTGATAGAATAGTATTTCCACAATTTACTTATAGTACGTATTTATTGTATATATTTGCTTAACTTGATGATTTTTATTCTTAATCGGTTTGGTTTGTAATGGAAATCCATGCGCTTCAAATTTTTATTAGAATTATTTTTGTTCGATAAATAAATTTTATTTAAAATTACATTTCAAAAATTCGAAAAATTTTACAAACAGATAATATTTTATATTAAAATTTATTTCTAATTGTAAAATTTTTTTATTTTTACATATAATATATTTTCAGTTTGCAACGTTTCATATTGGTTTTCAATTTATTTATATTTCTCAGAAAAAGGTAACACCAACAATTTTTAAGATTTTGTTATTATTTTATATAATTACACCTGACAAAACAATAGTTTCTCTGTTATATAAAATAAATAATATTTTTGAAAATAAATATGAAAACAATATTATATATTGTATTATTGTAATATTTATAGTTCCTAAACATGTACATTTAACATTGTTCATATTCAAAAGAAATGTACATTGTACAATTATTTGCACAAATAAATTTATAAATGGTTGAGAAGTAGTAAACTACAACAACAATATTTTTTATATAATTTTAATTAATTAAATTTTTGGCTGAACATACAGCTACAACGATTATTGTCAAATACCCATCATCAGTGCTCTGAGAAATAAGTCTTCTATTTAATTATACGTAAATAATTTTTTTAAACTTCATGTACTAGGAATCGCACTCGTGCCCTGCCAAATTTGAATCTCAGAGTCAGCGCTCCTTAACCAACTGATCCAAAGCCATACTTGATTTTCATGTTCGCACATTTTCATGGAATTTTGTAAATTTGCTATGAAGGTTTTATTAACAAATTCACTTGCTGTGTTTATATTAGAACAAAATTATAAACCAGCTGTAGAATAATTGAATTCATTAAATATATTTTTTTTTATTTTTATTTTTAATTGTAACTAAATTTATTTTTATATAAAAATATATAAAAGAATTTCGAATAGCAAAGAAAAGACAAGAACAAAAATTTAGTTAATTTATTGAAATTTTGCTGACCATATAACGCTGCTTGGTGTATTGCCGAATACTTGTTATCAGTGGTCTTAGAAAATATTTGAAATTATTTTTAATTTTACAAAAACAAATGTATATAATGTATATAATTAATATACTTATTATATATTCCTGTAGTTTTATAATTTATATCGAATTATAACGAAGCGCAAAAAAAAAATAAATTTTTTAACCCAACAATGAAGAAGAATCATACTTCTTCATTGTTTTTACAATAATATTTTTTATAAAAATAAATTAATTTGTTATAGTTATATACTCTCGATAGACCCCTTCAGTAATAAAACTCATTAATTAAATGTATTAATGCTCCTTTAATATTATATAAAGGAGCGAATAGTATGAATATAGTTATGACTAAAGATATCATTCCCAAAGAACAGTTCGGACTTGAAAAAAATCTTACCACTGAACCCCAGCTAACCAGAGTTTCTCAAACTACAAAACAAGTTCTCAGCGAATGAAATCTACTGAAAGGGTCTTTCTTGATATCGCTAAAGTGTTTGATGAAGTTTGGCATAACGGGTTGATCGTCAAACTAGAAAATTTTTTTAAAAAGTTTCATCAAAAAGAGAGTTTATGGTTGAAGTCCAAAACCATTTTTCATCTTTAATGAGCAAGTATTCTACAATGAAGCGTCCTTGTCCCCATATTCTTTCTTTTGTTTACTAATGATATCCTAGTAACAGAAAATTGTCAAATTGTGACATTTAATACAACTCTACTTTCAATTAGTTCCAATGAAATTAAAATAACTAAACCTCTCTAGCCAGCCATGAATATTGTTTATCAGTGGACGAAACATTGGCGACTCAAGTATAACAATACAAAATACAATACAACAGGTAAATTAATAATTGTTAAGCCACCATAACCTCAACTATAGACTACGCCTGATATTCCACTGTCATTTAGGACCGAGAGTGGTTTTTAAGAAATACGTTAAGTATCAAATAGGTAACTGTAGCTGAATAGGTGGAGGTCTCCGGTATGGAAACAATTATCTCAAAAAATTCATTAACTAAATTGTAAAAAATATTATAAAATTACTATTAAAGTTATATTATAACAAAATTATTGTGTATTACTCATAGATTAATTTATTTTGATTTTATTGATTTTATTATGAAAATATTGATTTCAGACCTACAAGCCTACAAAACAACAGAGTTAAAAATAAGTAAAGAATTAATTTTTTTTTGCTCTTCATTTCATTATTTTCTTTTTAGTTGACAACCCATATAATAGTATCATATGATTTTCCTACAGTTATTAATTAATTTTTGTAATTAAGTTATATCGTCTGTTGCTACGTCTGAATAAATTTTTTATTTATTTATTTCAGGTTTCTACGCCCACTGGCATTATTTCGCACTTTGTCAATCTTCAAGTGGTTGTGCCCGAAGCATTTATTTTAGGTTCTGGTGAATTACATGTTGATATGGGATCAACAATAAATTTGGTCTGCATCATCGAGAAGGTAAATATAGTAATTAATAAAAGATATATTACTTTAATTAGTAGTGCAATTGTGCTATATGAACTTCATTGTGGGAATGTGTAATTGCAAACATTATTTATGGTTTTTACTGTGGATACCACAAATAATTTAAAGTTTGTTCATTTAATGTAATAAATAATTGACCAATTAAAAAAGATACAATTATTAAATATTGTAATAATACCATCAATATTATTATGTTAATATGATATTAATATAATAAAAAGATAATAAATCAATGCATGTAATCGATTTAAAGTGTAATGCAGGAAGTTAAGAGAAACTACCGAGCACTATTTACAGGAATTAAATAAAATAATAAAATAATATTGAATAAAAATACTTATACCTAAATTACGTACTTACTTGTTTGGCCACAACAACCCGTTACCGGGTTTCGGCCTGACAAAGCATGTCTCTCCAGGCGCATCTGCTACAAGCGCGCCTTCTCCAGTCTCATACATAAAGTTCAGTTAGTGCTCCCTCAACTTGATCTCTGCACTGGAGACACAGTCTACCTCTACACTTTCTTCCTTCAACTACTACTTCAAATACTTTTTCCGCTGGAGCATCTTGATTCAATTTCACGATATGGCCAATCCAGCGAAGCCGGATTGCTGAATTATATTAATTTGCACGTGGTTTATTCGCATGTAAGACCAAAGATCTTACGAAGAACAATTCTCTTGAACACTCCTAGTGCTGCAACACCTTTCTGTGATAACGTCTATGCTTCTGCGCCATACAGAAGCATAGAAAGAAGGAGCGACCTATAAAGCGTAACTTTTATTTATCGAGCACAATGCATTCCTACAATTGCCTACTGAGCCCATAATAGCATCTATTAGCAATGGTGTTTTTTCGTCTAATCTACAGACTGACATCGTTGTTGCTTGTCATGGCGGTGTCAAGGTAGATGAAATATTTGACAGATTCGAAAGAATAGACGGCAACTATTACCTCGGCATCCAAGCCATACACATTCCTACCAGTAGCCAACATCTGCTTTGTATTACCTTCATTAATCGTTAATCTCATGCTTGTGGATTCCTTTCCGATAGCAGTAAAAGCAACTGTAACATCACGTTTGCTACGTCCAATAATGTCAATGTCATCGGCGTAAGCAAGGAGCTAGACATACTTGTAAAATATTGTTTCATTACGATGTATATATGCTTTTATTACTTTTATCTAAATAATAAACTTTTTATATAAGAGTATTATATGAATTCAGATATTTGAATAGACTTCTTGTTCCTAGCAATGAACAGTACAACAGACTGTCAAAAAAGTACCCTCTCGAAAGCTTGTTTCTTCTGGAAACAAAAACTTGGCAACCTTACAAAGTCTGCTTGGTTCTTTCGTTTTCCCGACGTTTATACAATTATACAACTTTTACGATGAAGATTTCTACAACTTCTGCAATGGAGGTTTCAACACCTTTCACAGTGAAGGTTTCTATAACCGCTGCAATAGATATTGAAAGAAATTCACAGTTTTTGAGTTTAAGCTTCTGGTGTAGTGTCTAGACAAATCTACAGTAATCGTTGCAGTATTCACACGACCTCCTTTACTAGGTTCCCAAGATTTGTGTGTTGTTATATGTTGGCCCTATTCAATGGGAAGTTACTGAAGACCTACGTATCCTATGCAATATTTTATATTTTATTTTCACATTTCAATAGTCTCCAGGGGTAACAGTTATTTGAAATGCTATACGCAGTTTTGATTGAAATTCGCGTCTTTTGGATTTTTTTTTATATTCTATATGCAATAACATTTGTAACTCAGCAGAAAAACTCTATATCGAAGTTAAAGTTTGAATAACGAAATATTTTAGTTATTTTCTTTTAAGTAGCACCTGAGTAGTTCCTTTAGCAATACATCAGTTAGCTAATAAAAAATTTGAAACATATTTTACTTAATGCAGACTGTGAGAAATAACTTGAAATAAATGTACCAGAAAATATTGGACAATTTTTCATATTTGCTGAAAAATTGTTTCCTTCGTAAACAATTTAAGTTATTTCATAGTAAATCAAAACTGAAGGCGTAAATGTGCTGCAGTTTATACAGCTCTGCTCTGCTCCATCTTTTACCAATTTTTCCATTATAATTCCTATTTTTTCTTTCCTTTCACTATATTTATATATATATATATATATATTTTTAATGCCTGTTTGGCAAAATATGTTCCGTTTGTATCTCAACACACTTCATCCTTGTGGAACTCGGAACTCACAGCTCTCAGCTCTCAGCTCACAGCTCACAACTCAGTTTATGTTTATGTTCATGAAATACGAAGCCTTTTTCAGTTGCAGCTGGCAACGTTGTTTTATTTTTCACTGCTTGAAATTGCTTTTATGTGCTTTTATACTTTTCTGAATCTGATTTTCTATAAAAATGAAAATTGCAACACATTTGCATTTGTACTGATTTTCTTCTCCACCATTGCTCCTCAACATATTTTACTAAAATTCTTCGAAATACGAGTAAGTAATAAAAAAAAAAAATCTAAAAGAAAATTTCGTGGTTTTTCACAGTTTTGAGTTTTGTTGATTTTATTCTTTTGTTTTTGTTTTTTTTTCTATTTTCCATTTATTTCTAATAATGCACGTCTTTGAAGTCCTTCTTATACACTGCGATTCCACTTAACTCCAAGTCACTTAGTTTTTGTTTGTTTGAAAATATATTTTTTTTTGCATTTAAATTAATTTTATTTGCAAGTTTAAACAGTTTCATTGAATTACTTAACTTCTAAAATATCCTCAGTATTTCTTTTGGCAGAGTTTATATGAAAACCTTGAATCCTCAGAGCTTGCTGAATAGTTTATAATTTTCAAAAGTTTCAAAACAATAAATTTTTAAACTTAACTTTCATTAAATTTAAATATAAAATATAAAACTGCAAAAACTCAGCAAAAACTATTTATTTTGAATTATTCAGTTTTTAAACTATTTTTAATGGAAGCGAATGCATTAAAACATTTCCAGCACATCAAATCATTTGAGCGAACTGCATTTTCATTCAAATAAATTGCCTTAGACGAGAATTTAATTTTTCAACTCATGTGTGCACATAAAAAATTCATATTTTTTTTTAAATTATAAATATACTCACTTATATGTTAACATATATATACAAATTTATTAATTTAATTGATGTTAAAATATACAGAAATTAATTTTCTTCCAAAGGTCGTGGTTTTTATTTGCTTAAACTTTTTGAGTTGCCTTAAGTAATTTTGAACCGCCAGATGCGCTCCAAGTTTAACACAGTAAATCAGTAAATCAGAGCTTCCATTTATTTTATTTTAACTGTTAATAATTATTCATGGCGCAGTGTGTTAATTAATAAATTAAAAATATAAAATACCATATTACTCATAATTAATGCTCTTTAAAAAAAAAAATTATTAAAAGTTTTCAAGCATCGCAAATTAATTCACATATTCCATAATACAAATTATTTATGGAGCAGAGTGGAAGATTGTGAGGGAATATAAGAAATAAAAAATTCATCGGGGTTTTTGGAACATTCTATAATTTAGAGAACTTTTAGGGTACTATAAACATAATTTGCAATACGTTAGAAAAATAGCATTTCTTCAAAAACATACTAAATGGAAGTATGAAGTAAAATGAGGTGAAATCTGGTAATACTTCACAACAGGTGGCAAGGCTAAACCAAAACCATTCATATTTTGTATATAAAAAAAGTTTTAAACGGCAGCTATAAAAGTTTCGACTTTATCAGATATTTAGTTGACTTTCTACAAATAAATGATATAATGCACCTTTGTGACTTTTCATAATAAGAAAACTTTATGGTAATAAAATTCTTCCATTTGAAAAGAATTAATGATGTTGCAATCAAATTGAAAATGGATGCTGTTTACGGAAACCTTGCACCATTGTTAACAGCAATAAAATATTGGAAAGCTGAATTTAAACGTGCTCGTACAAATGATCGCTCTTTGATGAAGAGCGTCCGGGTGCCCAAAAGAGGTCACAAGAGGTGAAAAAAATCCAGGATATTCTGCTGGATGATTCAAAAATTATCGAATATTTCGAATATTTTATATGAATATTTGGGTATGAAAAAGCTTTCGGCATGATGGGTGCCATGTCTGCCTATAATCGATCAAAAATTGACAACGACTTCGTAATTCAAAACATTATTTGGAAATGTTTATGCATAAATTAGTTGACTGTAAACATCGAGTACTAACAATTGATGAAACATGAAACCATTACTTTTCACCTGAAGAAAAATAAGAAGCCAGAGAATGGGTAGAGCCAGAAGGTAGTATTCCCAAGCGACCACGGACTCAACAATCGGCAGACAAATGTTTGGCTTCCATATTTTGGAATTCAAGTGGAATAATTTTTATAGACTATTTGAAAAAAGGAAAAACAATAACATGAGACTATTATTGCATTAATCGATTATTAGATCGATTGAATAAGGAAATCAGGAAAAAACGATCACATTTGTCAAACACAAAAAATGTTTTTGTCTGGATTAACACACCCGTCAATGAAAACCATGACAAAATTAAATGAATCCCCGTACAAATTGCTTCCTCACCCACCTTATTCTACAGATTTAGCACCTACTGAATATTATCTGTTTCCAAGCTTGAAAAAATGGCTGCATGGAAAGATATTGACTTGATAAATTGTATTATTTAAAAAGTATTTAAATGTTGAAAGATCGTTGGACACGGTGTGTCGGGTTAAACGAGGATCATGTTGTAGCATATTGAAAATATAATTTTCCAAAAAAATCCGTTTTTGTTATTTAAGCGGAGCATAGAGGCTCCATTTGATGTAACACATATATGCCAATATTTCACACAATAATCAATATATAAAAATTGTTCAGTCAAATTTCAATAACATAACTAAAGTTTTTGTTGTTGTCTTTTCATTTCTATTCGAGCTCTACTAACTTTTAAAAAGTTTTTTTGTTATTTAATGAAGTATTAACATATAGTGATGTTTCGAACAGTAATAAATTGTAGCAACAAAATTTTTTTTATTTTTAATCAATTGAATTTTTGACTGATCATTCAGTTGTGTCGAGTATTGCTATAACTTACATTAAAATCAAAATTAATACTTTATGTATTATATGTATTTTATCAACAAACTTAATAAAACCTTATTTTTTCAGAGTCCAACTCCACCACAATACGTATATTGGCAAAAAAATGATCGATTAATCAATTATTACGATTCGAGACGCGATATATCCATAGAGACTACACCTGGACCACGTACGCAAAGCCGTCTGATAATTCGTGAACCACAAATAACTGACTCTGGAAACTACACATGCTCTGCTAGTAATACAGAACCAGCGAGTATTTATGTTTTTGTATCAAAAGGTAAATGCCACTTTTTGAAAATAGGTATATTTATGTATTAGACCTCATTCATATATAGACCATTGATTCAATATTGTATTGAGATTTATTAAATTTAAATTAATTAATAATGTACTTTTATTTTGTTGCGATAAACATTTTTTAACTTTTTTATGAAGTCATTTTTATAGTTCTTTTAAAATCGTTCCATTCAATTTTGATAATAATACTTTTATACTAAATCCAGAGGAACAAAGTAGAAAGCTATAATCTATCTATAACCTATATAATAGGAGCTGTGATATTAAATCGACAACGTTTCGAAATGATAATTTATACTAGTATTAAAAAAAAAAATTATTTAGAGTTTATAATAAGTCAAATAAGAAAAGCTAATAAATAATATCACATTTATATACTTTTAAATATACCTACATCTTTTCATAATTATTATATTTTTTTTTAATAGGCGATAACATGGCAGCGATATCACGCCGCAAAACATCTTCAGCTGATCGCATAGCGGCAATATTCATGCAACTTTTGGCCCCATGTGTACTAGTGAATACTTTGGCTATAAGGTACGGTAATTAAGATATTAAATTATATTTATATTTTTACTACATAGTGTATTTCGTATATATTATTGAATATTTTATAAATATACTCGTATTATGAACTTTTAATATATATTATTGTACACATGTGCAGTTCACGAAAGTTGTTATTTTGAACTCTTATATATACATGAACTACTTATTTATATAAATTTTTTATTATTTTTTATTTTTAAAATTAGGTTATAATATATAAAAATAAATAATATGAATATAAATTATATAAAAATATGTAAGTAATGTGAAAGTGCTTTTATGAAAATACTTTACTTTTGGAAACTATATGTATTATTATTGAGTAAGGGATCGTGCACTGCGACCTGAAAGATCTATTGTGCCCCTTTGTCGGGTTAGAGTATTTCTCCAAGTCCGATTTCTTTAATAAAAGACAGTATGGATCCTATCTTCCCCAGTCTTGAATCCTTATGATCCATGAAATACCCTCCTATAAGGGTATACATGAAATACTTATATGTATACATTAGAAGAAAAAATAATGCATATCTGGTAGTCCATGTTCAATATTTATTGTATATCAAGAATATCAAAGACCTTTTGTCAAAATAATAATCTTGAGAAAAATAATGTTGTCCGGAAAAATGATATAAAATTTTCTAAAAGTAGTATTGTAGTATTTGATACTAAATAAAAGTATACTTAATTAATCAAAAATTACTAATAGTAATATTCTACTATTAGCATCTATAGTAATTTAAGCTGTTTGTATTAACAGCTTTTGAGATATTCAAAAAGATGATTTTAGGGTTGATTGTAACCCCATAACTCCCAATTCTTCCCTTTTTTATGCGGCTTTTAATTTCATTTGTTTGACTAAGGATTCGTTTTAGATATATATTGATTAAATCATCGTTGTACCTGATATTATAAGTAGGTATAATTATAACTTACTAAAATAAAATAATATAAAATAAAATAATAAAATAATATAGGATAAAATAAACATAAAAGATAATAAAATAAGAAATGTTAAATAATTTTAATTAATTTAATAATTATTATTTATATTAATTATAAATCCGTCACACAAATTTTCTATACCTTATATAATAATTAATAAACAAAGTATTTATGACCCATGAACTTTTAATAATATTTTATATATTATTACTACATATTATATATATAATTGTATATTAATGTTATATGTACTATTTTATAATATTATATATATATTAATTAGTTTTCTAATAATTAATATTTTTTCTCTTTTTCTTTATTTCAGTCGCATTTTCTTAACTTAAGACTTTCAAACTTTAAGAATACAAAACCAAAATCCTATTTAAGATTTTTAAGATTTAGTTTAATTCAAAGAAAGATAAATAAAAGCAGAAGTAAGTTTAGTTATAGTAACTAGAATTAAGTATTAATTGTAAAATTAATGAAATGCCATTTATAATACTAAATATAAAAAAAATTAAATAAAATAAAACTTATTCCTCTCGAACGAGCTAAGTTAGAAGGACTTTTTCATGTACAAAAAATTTTATTTCTTTTTTTGTAAAATTTTAGTAAAAAAAAAATTTGTATGAAAATAATATTTAATTATAATTAAACTTGTATAGATTTGGTTACAATTTTACATTTAATTTATAGTATTTAATATTTAATAAATTGTTTAAGTAACTCAATTTATGTGTGTATATTTCAGGTAATTTAATATTTTTTAGATTACTTAATAACGAATTGTAAAACTAATCCAATTAGCATAGTTAAATATATTAAATTAAAAGTTTATTATATTCATATTAATATAAATATATATGAAATAAATTAATTATTGAAAAAAATATAATATCTAAGTTGTGCTTATATGAGATAAAATAACACAAAAAACAAACTTTAGTGTATATGAAAATATTTAAATTAAATATTTATTAAATTACATATAATAACAGTGAAAATCATAAAGAAATTTTAACTCATGTTTGGGGATATCTTAGAGATATCTTCTTTCAATATCTGTATTCAATTATTATTATTTCATTTCATGATTTTATGTATTTAGACCAATATTGATTGTAAACAAAGATAAGGTTTCCATTATTGAAATTTATTTAAAAATATTATTCACTTAACACTTTTGCTAGTATAAACTTGTATGGTAGAGTTTCGGATATTGTGCAAGTCACTGAAGTAGAGTCTTATTTTCTATAAGTGCTCTATTTTTTTAAGTAATTATTTTATTAATTTCTTTTACTTTTGGGTATAGGTATCATTTGTTATAAATTTCAGGTGAGTTTAATATCCTATAGTTGCAGAAAAAGCACTTAGTAGCAATACTGACACAATTGTTTTAATAACTGATTTCTTTACCTTTAAGACATTAATGCTTTCCAATTTTCTAATATATTCTAAAAACAGTCGGTTTAAATAAAAATAGATAGAACTTCATTAAAATTGTATGTCGCCATATGTATTAAACGATGATGTTATTAAATACATTTTTGGATTAACGTCATGATTCATAAAACAGAAACAGATATAATAATAACAGAAATGTTATTAAAAATATTAAATATTAAAAAGTATTAAAACCCTTAAATATTTTCTTTATATACTCGTTTTTAATTTTATTAAAAGTTGAAAAAATAACCAAATCCAACAACGTTCCCAGGAACCCGAACTACCAGTCTACGCCTGAATAAAATAAATTCTTTCCATTTTAAAAAAATTAATTAAAAATTTTAAAGCAATTATTACAAACATTTAAAATTTCAGAATATGGTACTTCAAATAATTGTTTGACTATAAATTCTTACCATGAATCCTACATAAATCATCTCATTAATAAGGCAAGTGTCATGAAAAAGGCGAAGGACCTACATAATACGTTTTTAGTTGCCTTCATAAAGTGTACGAGTGAGAGATTATTACTTTAGTGCCCTTACTTTTTGTGAAAATGTATTATACTATTGTTCTCACCAAATGATTAAATCACTAATCTCATGGAATATTTTATTTACCATGCCATTTTAGTAATCACCTAACCAATTCTTACAAAGACATATATCTGATATCACATATATGTACCAGTATTTTAAGACTATGAATTGCTTCTGAACTGACATGGTTTTGGACTGAAGCACTCAAATCTTCTATATTAACTTTATATATGTATTTATATTAAATTCTATTCATTGTTAAATAATTTTTTTATAATTTTTATGGAATAAACAAAAGACAAGAAAAAAAGAAACAAACACTATAAAGAACTCCTTTATCCGACTTTCTACAACAAATTATTTTTCAATAGAATCATTGACCAAAGCTAAATAAACCAAATCAAATCAAAGGTTTAGAGTACTGTCACTGAATGCACTGAAAACCTTAAATCTAGCGAATATAGAGTAAATAAAGTATTCCTGAGGCAATAAATTGAATCTATTCAGAAATTTTTTCTGTTTACATACCTTATATATGGACCTAAGTATTTTTTTATCATTGAACCATAAACTCCCATGAAGTTTATAAAGACTGTACCATTATCAGCTTTAAAGATATTGGGAAAGTAGATTTAGAAGTCATTTAAATTTTTCACATATATAAATATTTAATCTGAAATTAATAAGAAAGGAAGTTAATGTATGCTTTCTTTATGAAATACAACCTTGAACCCTTAAGTCTTCTTTCAAGTGTAGTCCAAGTTTTTAATGGGGTGTTAGTTACAATTAATTGATTAATTGAAAACTTAAATATATGTATATATTTAGGCATAAAAATGGTATCACCTGCTTTTCACTTTTTCTAATATGAATTATGTGGCAATATATTTATATATATTGCATTTTAATGTTTGTAATCGCATCTGTTTATGATTATTGTTTGTCAAAATAATGAAAATTAATTATTGAAAATCAAACCGCAACTAAAAAATATATATAAAGTTAAATAAATAGTAATTTATAATTTATAGTCTCATAAAACAGTTTCACGGAGAAAATAATAAATAAATTAAATAATTAAACTGTCATTATCAACAGGCAGTACAATGTAAAACAGTTGATATTACAAAAAAAAAAAAATATAATAAAAACTGTAATTAATCTAAACCGTGTTGTGAGACCAATTCATAGAACAAAAAAAGAAGGCGACATTAATTTTGCTTATTTAGTAACAAATATATGGGAACTTAGTAAGAAAAAAAAAGCAATTTAAGGAGTTTATAGGAATTAATTCCAGCTACAATAACATAATCGCGGTTTATTTTAAAGAAAAACTTCTAAGTGATTATTCTAAGAAAGGCATTTGTAGTGAGATCAATAGGTAATGTTACCAAAGAGATTTATAGTTTTTATATCTTTACTTAAATTTCAAAAATTTGTTTCAGAAAAAGATTATTAATAGAAAAGAATAATCACCTTTTATATAAATAAATTTTGATTCAATTTATCAAATTTTATCCAAGCAAAAAGTAACAAGTGAAGATTTATGTTCTGACAATGGGAGTATCGCCCTATGTAAATTAAAATTGAAATCATATCATTTCCGCAGTAAACCTCTTCTATGCATTTTCACACGCTCCTTATATTAATTATTCACTTACTTTTAGTAAAATAACCAAGGCAATAACTAATAATACCAAGAAAAGCAAAAATGACAAAAACGCCAAGTAACAGCACCAAAATTATGCAGGACAAATATTTTGATCATACTTTAATATTTCTATGGATAATATGTTTAATTCTACAAATTCAAATGTTTTAAGAATTTGGAATATAAGGCATAAGCACATGATATAGGCTTAAACTCAAATAATTAAACATTTTCCAAAAAACCTGATTTTTTTCATATGGAAATAAAAAAAGCTTGCATTAAATATTTTCGAAAGAACGAAAATTGTTCCATATGGAAACAAAAAATGCTTGCTACTCCTGGTTTTGTTCAAGTGGAAAGTACTGGGATCTTAAAGTACTGAACAACATTTCTGTTTAACAAACTAAACTTGCCAATTAAGTTAAGATGGAAAAAAAGGGCCTGAAAAAAATTTCCTTTAAAATATATCAATTTGGATGCATTTGATTGTTATGTTCACTGTTACATATTACCACTGACTACTGTAAGTGAGTCAAACAAAAACTACTACATTATTTTATTATTTTAGCAATATTAACACTTAAATTTCAAACGAAGAAAATTCGTTTTGCTTAACCCAATTTAAATGCTTTTATCTAGCACTTTTCCACGTTTTTTAGTATCAATTTTGTGCATATTTCATACAGTTACTAAAAGCTTTTCCTTGAACTTATCACTGTCTTTTAAAAATTGATATTATGTGGTCGTTTCTACTTATTTTACCAATTTTTGGTGAAATTAGTTAGCACTTTATTTCAAATTTGTTACACTTTGTTGGTGCTGTTCTGTTATATCAGTCAGAAATATTTCTCATATATATATCAATATGTCAAAAATACTTATAACTACAGCAAGATATACATATTTTTCATTTATGTTAATATATGTTTAAGCATTTTATAAACCCCGTAAACCTTATCAAACAGAGTTATATCGACAGTTATATTTTTATGATTTACTGATAGGCAAAAATTAAATTTAAATTATCATAACAAAACATGAAATAAAAATTAAAAAATATTGATATTTGTATCGACAAGAAAAAATATAATAAAATATTTCATGTAACATAAAAAGTTGAAATAAAAAAAAAAAACAAAATAAAATAGAATAAAATAAAAAGAATATAATTGAAGCAAAAAAAAAAAAAAAATTACTTAAATTAGGTCAGAAATATGCAAAACTGAAATTTTAAATAAGGCTTATCCATATACATATATACATAAGTACAGAAACTTAAACAAACAATAGTATGTAAAATAATGCATATTTATGTAAATTATAGTTAAATAAATATAAAATTTATGAAACATTCATGTTATGAAATGATTAATTCTGACATTGCTTTAGTGTTAAATATGTGAGAAAAATAATTCAGAATTCCGAGTAAAAAATCAGAAATTGAAAAAATGCACTTAATAATGTTAAACATAAATTTTAAAATAATATTTAAAAAAAAATAAAAAATAACTAAAAAATTTGTAAATGTGAATGTAGTCTCTCTTTAAATAATATATACATACACGTATATAATAAAAATTATTTATAATATTTATAATTTTACTCTTATGATTTATTCTATCTACATTTGTTGTAAACAATAAAATCGTAGTAACAACTGGATATGAAACGATATACATACTTACAGATATAAATAATTATGTACTAGTGTAATCCTAATAAATTAAAAACCTTCAATGTAAATACTTGTCACTAAAAATAAATACATTTAAATTTAAATTTAAAATAATTATTTAATATAAGTTATAAATGAATATAAATGAATAAGTATAATAAAAATATAAATATCTCTATGACAGACATTTTCATAAGTG